ACACACACACACACACACACACACACACACACACACACACACACACAGGAGCAGGATAATAGCTGTGTCATCAATCCTCATTTAGGCTGAATTTACACAAAAGCGTCTGCAGGGGAAATGTTTTCAGAAACGTTTCCACACAGTAAAAAGTATTTATTCAGTATTTAGTTTGCTCCAGAGTGAATAAAGCTTTAAACGTTATCTGACAGAAGTTTCACGGAACGTATGCAGTAAATGATCAGAAGCTGAGGTTACATGTCTGGATGAAATAAGAGAAACTGGGGTCACTGTGCGCTCGTCAATTGATAATATGAAGAGCAATAATCTTATAAAAGTACAAAGAACTATCAACAACAGTGAAGCCTTGTCTTAAAGAACAACAATGAATAAAATACACCTTAATTACTTTAGTTTATATTGTGCTTTTTCCTAAATAAAATAGTTGTATTCAGACAAGGGCAACTTGATGTATTGTAACGTTGTAGAGAGTATTTAAACATGTATAATATCTGATGTTAAGAAGGCAGAATGGAGTCTGCTGGTGAATCTCTCTCTGAATCACTAACTTCATGCACATCGTATGTGCAGATCGTTCACTGTGAAGTGATGCAGCAGGTGTTCTCTGGCTCCTCCTCCTGCCCTGCACTTATCTACACATTCTACATTTAATAAATGTTTTATGAACAAAGGCAAACCGATCAGATTTCATCCTGTTAGTGCAGCCGTGAGAAGTAAAGAAGGAAGAGAAGGAAGTGTAGTTCTGTGTAAACTGAGCCAGAGAGACTCGTGGGAGATCGCTGAGTTCCCACTGACACCAGATACGTTCTGTTTGTTCTGTTTGTTCTGATTGTTCTGATTGTTCTGATTGTTCTGATTGTCACGACTTTAATGTGAATAGAGAAGAAAATACTAAAAACCAAGATTTCAAGGAGAACAGCAACGTGGAAGAGAGCAGAAAATGAAACGTTACTCTCCAAACAAAGCTGGTAAAATGTCACCGATCAAAGGTTTAAATGGTCACACACACACACACACACACACACCGTCCTGCCGTCTGATTGGCTGTGACATGTGAGAGCAGGAGGCCCAGCGGACACGCCCACAGGGCAGGTGAGGGAGCAGAGGGAGCGGAGCAGCAGGGGTCAGTCCACCGCTCAGGTCTCAGACTGTTCGGTGGTGATGTCAGAGACGCAAGTGAAGCAGCAGGAAGACGACAGGAAGCGTAACAGAGGAGCCTCACAGAGAGCACAGAGACTACCAGTGAGTGTGTGACTGCAGACAGGACAGAGGAGATGAGTACAGCCAAATACTGGAGGTACTGATGGTACTAGTTGTTGAAGTGTGTTTTACTTGTAGTATTTGCAACTGTATTTGTAAAACTGCTTTTTCTTCGTCACACATGATTTTAAATGTGACATATTTGTATTTTGATCTAAATGTGAAACGTCACGCCGCCTCATACTGATCATTAGCTGATCACAGATAATATTAATCCTTATCTGTGTTTACAGTCTGTTGACCGATAAGAGAACAAGTCACTGAATGTTTGAGTTCATTTACAAACAGACTTTCATAGTTTATCCTCAGAAAGCATGAAAAACACGATTCTTTAAGAATCAGATTTAAAGAACTGCTATCAGACGTGTTTGATCTTCTATATGTGTGTCATAACTGCACCTTTTAAACACTTTATCAATATTAATACGAGGATTGTCGTGTATTATTGATGTCTTATTGCTGCTCTGCATGTCTCTACATTAACTATGATCCGTGTTGCTCACTGTGTTTTGTGTTCTTGCACGGCTTCCTGTGATTGGCTGTTACTGCTGCTGTGTTAGTGAACTCATGTTTTGCTGCTTCCTGTTTGTTTGTTGTTATTTTGTTCCTGGATATTAAACAGCCGGCCACACTGGCTCTTTCACAGACATGCTGATTAAATGTTGTCTTTATAAATTAATAAATTAAATGAAATTATTGGATTTCTTTAAATCCTCAAATATTAGTATCAGACTCAAAAACGCAGTCTTAGTAAGATATCACTGAAATCAGTGAAGTATCTGTAATTCATTTTGGCGTATGTTATTCAGCTTCTTGAGATCTTATGTTGCAGTAACACTGATGATTGTTTGATATGTTTTTAATTTAAATATCAATAACAGAAAAGATGTAAAATACCGGTTGAGCAAACTGAGTTCTTCTGTTTGATTTGATCTTTTATGTCATCAAAGTGTATTTCATTTAAAACCTTCCTGCTGCTTGTGCAGCATACGTGTGTGCTCTCTGTGTATCTTTGGTCGTTTCTGTTTCAGCTTTCTGAATGTTGGTTTCTTGCCGTCTGTAGTTCCGATGCAGAAAACATGGAGGAGCGTCAGAGAAGTGAGCGGACGGTCAGAGAGCCTCTGCAGGCCGTCGATCCGGAGCAACACGAGCTGTCGGTCCGGAGGAAGCCGGCGTTAGTCAGGTCTGTAGACAGACCACCACATGCAACACGTAACCAAGTCTGCTGTGTAGACATTCATGTAAAGTACTTCTTTTTACAAGTTTGAGGTTGTCTTTATTTATTTTATCACTAATGTATTTTATTTTATATTTAATAAGGTTATATTTTACTTTATATAGATATAGATATATTGATATATATATATATATATATATATATATATATATCCTATATAAATATGAGAGAGAGAGAATATCTTTCTATATTTTCTAATTTATCTGATTTCATAGTTTTTTATATGCTTTTTAGTTTTGCATTTGTTTCATTTCATTTCACCCGTTGAGTTTTTTGCGTGTCCTCCGGTGTTGCTGCCTGCAGCTTTTTGGAGAACCGATCATCCGAACAACCTCACACTCCACACTGAACTTCATCAGGTTCTCAGCAACACACCTGCCAAGTGTGAAGTTGATTGAATGAACGGTTGTTGTAAAAATGAAAGGACAGACAGAAGCTCTTTCGTTAAAACGTCGGTAATCTTACCTGGTGAATTAATAGTGTTGTATAAATACATCAGAGTACAGAGGTTCACTGAGAAGCAGCCGTGTCATAGGCTGTGATATAATGTATGACATCATTTCCTCTCCGTCTGCAGATCAAAGACCTTCGATCACTCTCTGCTGACTCAGGTCCAGACGGACACGGACTCCAAGATAGAGAGGAAGAAGTCTCACTACAGCCAGGTGAGCTACATGTCTCATCACACCTGCAAACAGCACTGCATCAGTGACGTCATGTATGATGGAATGTATTCATCACCGGTGTAACGGTACACAAAAGTCACGTTTTGGTACGTACATCGTTTTTTGGGTTACAGTTCGGTTTGTTTTCTGCGTAATTAGAAAAGCAAAGAAAATGCAAAAAATTAAAGTTTTTTGTTCATTTATTTTGAAACAGATTAACAGTTGTTCATTACACAATACGTCTTACTTAAACAGTTACTGACTATATATATATATATATATATATATATATATATATATATATATATA